TAACCCCGTCTAACTGTGTTTTGTTGTTGCTTGTTTCTGTGTGCACGTTATCCGTCTGTTATTCGTACATTGTTCTTAGTTTATCGTTGTTTACGAGGCTTGGACGAAGCGGACAGGTAAGAAGGTCACGTGACATACATTTCGCAACACTCAGGACTACTCTGCTGTCTAGTACACTAGGTTAGGGGTTCGTTGTTGTTGTTCACTTTGGGATTGTAAATAAAAGCACACATTTTTGGCATTACTTTGGTTGTCTTTCCACTCATTCACTGTTTATATAAATATATTTTAATTAAATAAATGTCAAACCCCACACCCTAGACTAACATCAGGGGTTTGTAACACATACAATTTCACCAAGTGGCTTGAGAAACTCTGTTTTGGAAGGAATTCATTAATTTAGACTGATTGTGATGACTCTGCAGAGGAGTGTATTTGCTTAAACTACAATAAACTAATTACGAGGAGAGATAAACAAATAAGAGCAAAGATACAAGTGAAATAAACCTTCTCTATAATTTTCTTGGGAGTCTAACAGCATTCAGGTGACATATCAAATATTCAAATGTAAAATAACAATGTATAGTCTACACGGAGCACATGGAGTATCACAGGTGTCAAACTCAGTTCCTGGAGGGCCGCAACTCTGCACAGTTTAGTTCCAACCCTAATTAAACCCACCTGATTCAACTAATCGGGTGCTTTAGGCTTGTTTGAAATGTAGGTAAAGCTGTGGTCACACTAGAGTTTAAGCATGCGAAATTTTGTTGTATGGCATTGCGAAAAGGGGCGGGATTAAACAAGATGATTAGACATTAAAAAATTGTGAGCAATTGGTCCATATTTTACATTTCTGTTCAGAGAGGTAATGTTTTGATCTTTGATTGGTCTCATGCAATCATGTGATGCAATTTCAGAGGTCAGAGTTCACCAAACTTACATTTTGTAACGCAGCAAACTGTGAAAACTTGTGGCACAAGTTTGCGTTTCCAGTCTGACGCATTTGCGTGCCTATGAATAGAAGTCTATGGGGAGAAAAGTACAGTTTGACCGCAGCTTTAGTGTGTTGAAACTAAACTGTGCAGAGCTCCAGTCCTCCAGGAGTTTGACACCACTGGTCTGCATTGTGTAAATAATTCAATACAATTAACCTTTATTTAAGTTACAAATGATACAATTTCTTGCACGTGAACACTTTAAACTCTCTTTAAATGCTCATACACTTGCAGCCCTTAAAACAAATGCACATAATAAACGTCCTCTCTATTGTGGTTAAATTTTGCATGTGTTTTGACCTGTGCTTTCTGGTAAATTATAATCCCGACTCAACATTGCGCATCCTGCGATGTGACAATTGTGCATGTTGAAATTGCAATATTAATGCTGATACGATGTATTGCGCAGCCGTATTTATTATTTATCGTATCGTATTTATCATATTTTGACCGCAAAAACGAAGAGAGATAATTATAGACCATTTCAATATGGTGATATCATTGGTCCATGAACAATTCCTGCTTGTCTTTTTCAGAACTGTAAGAAGAGGCGATTTAGTCATAACTAGGCCCACACGGTATCTGCGCGCACAGAAATCTGCAGATTTTCAGCCCATAATTGAGTCTATTTATTTAGTTGTGTGTAAATGTGTGTAAATTTATATTTATTCAGTTTTTAAATTAATTTCAGTAATATTACTGACTAATATTAAAACGTTCATTTCATATGGTTTACTTACAGTACAGTTTACAAAGTAATAATTTCTGTCTTTTAGTAGATATATTGTAGATATATTATATGGGAGACTTGCTTTGTTTAACAAATAATTGGATCTAATAGGATTTACATTTTAAACATTAAATAAAAGTTTAAATTTTATTATTTTTAATTTAACATATACCAATATACCCCAAATCATTCCACATAAATCCTCAGAATTTTTCACAACATTCTGCGAAGAAATGGCAAAAATGCCTGCAGATTCTGTCTTGCCCTAGTCATAACTAGGCCCACACGGAAACGCAGATTTTCCGCAGAATTACGCAGATTTCTGCAGGTTTTTAGCTTATCATTAATTCTGTTTATTTACATGAGTAAATGTGTAAATCTAAATTTATTCAGTTTTATTCAGTAATTTATTACTTTTTATTTAATATATTAGGGTCTTAGTTATGATACTCCGCTGGATACTCCCAAAATAATTCCGCTGAAATTCACAGATTTTTACCAAAATTCTCCGCAGAAATAGCAAAAAACGTCCGCAGATTCCGTCTGGCCCTTGTCATAACTAATGTTAACATGGCTGTCACTAAAAAAAGTATGAACATGTGGAGCTTTCTGGATTCTCAGAAGCTTTATAACTGAAAGATCTAAAACAGGAAATACATTAGGACCTTTGTTATTGTTTACATGCCTTATAATTGTCTGTAGAATTATAAATGCAATCGGTTTACTATTGCCTTTAAATGTCTTACACTCTATACGTCTGTTGGTTTTGTTAGTTACATACATGGAAATTGTTGCCTCATCTGGACTCAAAACAAGAGATGAATTCTTGCAATGTAAGTATTTCTAACAAAAAGCAAATACAAACTGTCAGACATTTATCAGTCCTCAAGAAATAATAATCCTGAATTCCAGCATGTTCTTATCAGGATTTAATTTTCCATCTTCTCAATATATAAAATAAATATATGTATAAATATAATTTTTGTTGCTCTGTTCAGATTCGTGTCATCTCACCCTGGATTTAAACACTGCACATAAATATCTCCGTCTGTCTGAAGGAAACAGAGTGGCTACTTTTATTGGAGCTGACCAGAGTTACCCGGCTCACCCGGACAGATTTCATGACTTTTCCCAGGTGTTGTGCAGAGAGAGTGTGTGTGGACGCTGTTATTGGGAGGTGGAGTGGAGCGGGGAGGCTGGAGTGGGAATATCAGTCTCATATAAGAGCATCAGAAGAAAAGAAGAGACTAATGATTCCGTGTTTGGATACAATGGTCAGTCCTGGAGATTGTCCTGCTCTAACTCCAGCTATAAATTCAGACACAATAGCAATGTTGTTGATCTCCCTGTATCTTCCAAATCCTCTAAAATAGGAGTGTATGTGGATCACAGAGCAGGAATTCTGTCCTTCTTCAGTGTCTCTGACACAATGAGCCTCATCCACAGAGTCCAGACAACATTCACTCAACCGCTCTACCCTGGGTTTGGGATTAATTTTGGATCAACAATAAAACTTCTATTGTTGAAGTCCTTATGAACTATAAGATAATTTATACATCCTCATGAAAAATGCAGATAGGAAATGTGGTAAACAGCTTCCTCTATCTTTCTGGTGATTATCATTTTAATCCACACACACACTATTTTTTCTTTATATTAAATTAGTCTAATATACTCATTAAATATCTCCCATAACACACTGTGCAGGTCTGTGTCCAGGGCACAATACAAGGGAACCCTATTGGATTTCTTTTCCTTTTGTTGTAATTGTAATTAAACACAATCCCGTAGGAGCTACTGATGCGTAGACACAGTTCACACAACCCATACAAGCAATAGAGCTGTTTCTTCTTTAAGAAGAGAAGTGTTGTTTCTCCTTTAAGAGAAGGAGGTTTGGAGTTTTGTGAGTTTTGAAATTGAGTGATACCTGCCTCTGTGCATTTTTGTTAGCACAACATCTATAATCCAGTGAATGTGTAAGAATTAGGTGCGTATAATGTCTTAGCTGTGTATTGAATATAAATGTGATGTCTAAACATTCCAAAATAATACAGAATTATTTTGATTGATTGGGGCAGCACGGGGGCGCAGTGGGTAGCATGATCGCTTCACAGCAAGAAGGTCGTTGGTTCGAGCCTCAGCTGGGTCAGTTGGCATTTCTGTGTGGAGTTTGCATGTTCTCCCTGTGTTGGTGTGGGTTTCCTCGGTTTCCCCCACAAGTCAGAAGACAGATGTGCGCTATAGGTGAATTGGGTAAGCTAAAAAATGATCTGTGAATAAATGTGTATGGATGGATGTTTTTTCAGTGATCAGTTGCAGCTGGAAAAATGGCATCTGCTATGTAAAACATATGCTGGATAAGTTGGTGGATCATTCCGCTGTGGCAACCACAAATTAATAAAAAGACTAAGCCAAAAAGAAAATGAATGAATGATAATTGGGGCATTTAATGCAATATTAAAAAAAGCATGTACAGTAGGCCTACCTACAAAGTATTATTTGTAATTATCATTTATACATATGGTGTGTGAATGTGAGAAGGTGTATGAGGTTTGAGAAAAAAAAAAGGTTTATTATAGGGAAAGATACTCAAAGAGCCTCAACTCTTGATGCGTGGAAAACGGGTGCAGACAAACTGGCAGAAAAACTCAATGGACAATATAAATGAATGTGTAACAACCTGAATCTTTAAATCTCTGATAGTCTGCGTGAATTTCTACTTTATGTAATTTACTACTATATGTATGGATGTATATATGTACATGTATGTGTGTGCACAAATATGGGTAGGTATATATACATGCATGTACAGTTAAACTACTAGGCCCCCCTGTTTATTCCCCCCCCCCCCCCCCCAATTTCTGTATAAAGGAAAGATTTTTTTCAACACATTTCTAAACAACAGTTTTAATAACTCATCTCTAATAACTGATTTATTTTATCTTTGCCATGATGACAGTAAATAATATTTGACTAGATATTTTTCAAGACACTGGTATTAAGCTTAGTGACATTTAAATGCTTAACTAGGTTAACTAGGCAGGTTAGAGTAATTAGGCAAGTTACTGTTTAATAATGGTTTGTTCTGTAGACTATCGAAGAAATAAAGCTTAAAGGGGCTAATCATTTTGTCCTTAAAATGTTTTTTTTAAATTGAAAACTGATTTTATTCTAGTCAAAATAAAACAAATACGACTTTCTCCAGAAGAAAAAATAGTATCAGACATACTGTGAAAAATTGTCCTTGCTCTGTTAAACATAATTTGGGAAATATTTAAAAAAAATAAGAAAAAAAATCAAAGGGTGTCTAATAGTTTTGACTCCAACAGTATGTATATGTGTATTATTTTCTATGGTATTAAATACTAAATATACCCTGTATTTGTCATGTATCATGTTTGTTTAAGATGCTGTGACCACTCACATGTAAAATCTATAAAAATTAATCACAAAAATAAAATAGTATCATTGCAGGCTGCACTGGCACAGCTTGAACAGAAATGAAAAAAAAAAACTATGTGTGAGCGCCCTCTTTAGGTCATTTTCCACGCACTACTTTCGATTTCTTGCAAAACCAGGAAACTCTTTGAAATGAGACCAACAGAAACTCGATGACTTGTTGCATATACCTTTGTGTGCATGTGTTAATAGAGTGAATATGTCAGTGACTACTCGGTGTTGTTCAACTTACTGTTTTCGATGGGTGATTGATTTGCTGATTGACCCACCAGCAAGTTTTGGGATTCTGAACAAGAGAATCAGACAAAGATGCAGTTGCAAAGCTTTCTCATGTAGGTGAGTTCAACTTTACAAACCGACAACAACAACAACAACAAAAACACTTTAAAGCTGTAATATACTTGGAAAATGGCAGAATCCAGCACTTCAGTGGTTGAGGATCAGTTCAGCTGTTCAATCTGTAAGGATCTCCTGAGGGAGCCAGTGACCATCCCCTGTGGACACAGTTACTGTATGATCTGCATTACTGACTGCTGGAGTCAAGATGAGCAGAGGAGAGTTTACAGCTGCCCTCAGTGCAGACAGACCTTCACTCCAAGACCTGCTTTAAACAAGAATGTGGTGATGGCAGAAATGGTGGAGAATCTGAAGAAGACAGGATTAAAATCTCGTGCAAATTATGCTGAAGCTGGAGATGTGAAGTGTGATGTTTGCGCTGGGAGAAAACGCAAAGCTGTGAAGTCGTGTCTGCTGTGTCTGAACTCTTACTGTGAAACCCATTTTGAATGTCATGAAGTCTTTCATTCAAGTAAGCGTCATAAAGTGACCGATGCCACCGGACGAATCCAGGAGATGATCTGCTCTCAACATGACCGACTGCTGGAGGTTTACTGTCGGACTGACCAGAAGTGTGTATGTTTAATGTGTGTGATGGATGAACATAAAAATCATGACACTGTTTCAGCTGAAGCAGAGAGAGCTGAGAAACAGGTATGAATGCTAAAGACTTAACTTAGTTTATCTTAAATTATGTACACACATGCATTAAGGTCTTAGTGGAATCAAAATACACAATGTTAGTGTTATTCTTTAGGTGAACAATTAATCTGTGCTAGTTAATTTACTGAAAAAATATTTTGGTAATCTTTAATTACCTAAAAGAAATCATTAGAAAATAATACAAAAATAGAAGATAAGTTATTAATAATTCATAATTAGTAGTTGATTATAATAATTCATTATAAAGAAATTCTAATATATTGCGATGAGGGATTTAAACCATTGAATATGTGCTTTATTTTTACACATTTAATTCCTTGTGAACCAAAGAACTTCTGATATTTATTTTTTTACTTTTGTTTTAGATTCAAGTTGGCGAAACACAAACACAATTACAGAACAGAATTCAGGAGAAGCAAAGCAAGCTCCAGCAGCTGAGAGAGTCTGTAGAGATACATAAGGTGAGTTTTAATAAAGGTGGCACGGTGGCTCAGTGGTTATCACTGTCACCTCACAGCAAGAAGGTCGTAGGTTCGCATCCGGCCTGTGTCAGATGGCATTTCTGTGCATGTTCTTCCCGTGTTGGCGTGGGTTTCCTCCAGGTGCTGCGGTTTCCCCCACAGTCCAAAGACATGCGGTACAGGTAAATTGGAGAAACTAAATTGGCCGTAGTGTATGTGTGTAAATGAGTGTGTATGGGTATTTCCCAGTACTGGGTTGCAGCTGGAAGGGTATCCGCTGTCTAAAACATGCTGGAATAATAAAAAGTTAAAAAAAAATTAGAAAAAAAAATTAGAAAATGGTTGACACTCACACACACAAGTACTTTTTACTTAGCATACAGTACATATAAATGTAAAGATTATGACTAATATTGGCAATTGCATAAGGCATACAGCCATTTTTTCCCTAATAATTTGAGTGTGTGACACAGTTGAAATTAAATATGTATATGAGCATAGCACAAGCCCTTACAGGTCTGGAATCTTCACATTTTCTGATATGAGAGACATTTTATTTAGTAAAAGTAAATAAATGAAAGAATAATGGCTCTGCGTTTCAGCATTTTATCTCACTGTAGAATCACTGTATTAGGATAACAGTTTTTTAGGCACTTGCTTGACAGAAGCATCAACAGCTTTCAAATATATCTTTATTATTTCAATTAATAAAGGTTTCTTAATGCATGAATACAGCCCAAGCTATATAGTGAGAAATAATGGGAAATATACAAACAGGTAAACAAATGAATACAATCAGGCTAGGGGCTAAATATGCACCACAGAATAGAAAATCAGGAGACATTATTAATTTGGTGCTAAAAAGGTGTCCTGAACTGCCAATTAAATATATCTTTCAAAATAAAAGCTTTGCATCAACAACAACAAAATAATTACAATGGTTGAAAGAAATGTAAAGACACATTAAGTAAATGTCAGGATGAACATATTTTAGGTTCTTACAAGACTTGTTTGTTTGTCCTACCAGAGCTCTGCACAGACAGCAGTGGATGATTGTGAGAGGATCTTTACTGAAATCATCCGCTGTATTAAGAGAAGAAGATTGAAGGTCACACAGATGATCAGAGATCGAGAAAAGACTGAAGTGAGTCGAGCTGAAGGACTCTTGAAGAAAGTGGAGCAGGAGATTGAAGATCTGAAGAGGAGAAACACTGAGCTGGAGCAGCTTTCACACACTGATGATCACATACATTTCCTGCAGGTAACTGGGAAGACTATTATATGTTGTACTGCAGACTGTTTCTTTTTAAATTTTGACATCAAAAAGAGCAAATCTATGTTTAAAGGCCATGATATGCTGAGGATTTCGCTGTGATTACTATAGCATGTGAATTCCTCCATCATCATGAATGCATCTTTATATTTCTGTTGACATTTTGTTTATGTAGAGTTTGCAGCCTCTCATCATCCCTGCTGAATCTACAGACAGCATGACTGTCAGTTCTCTCCCTTCTTATGAAGATGTGGGAAAATCTGTCTCAGAACTGAGGAAGAAATTGGATGATTTCTGCAAAGAACAGATTAAATTAATTTCTGCTTCAGGTAAAACACAAACTCATCTTGTAAATTAGAGCTTGATTGTGGTAAATAGACATGGCTCACACAAATGTTTCCAAAAAAGACACACACAGACAATAAAGTCAATATTATTGGCCCCTTATTGATTGCCTAACCAACTGTCATTATTATACAAGGATTTTCCTAATTACATTAACTTACCTAATTAACCTAGTTAAGCCTTTAAATTGCAGCTGAATACTAGTATCTTAAAAAATAACTGGTCAAACATTATGTATTATTTGTCATCATGGCAAAGGTAAAATAAATAAGTTATTAGAAATGAATTAGAAAATAAAATTCTGACTTCAGCTCTATATATGAAGAGTTCAGATGCAAAAACCTGTAAGTGCCGTCTGAAATTTCTGTCAAAAGTAAACATTTTTCTCAACTTCCTTTGTTTATGTTGATTTATTTTTACATAAAAGACCATGAAAGAACTTATTTTTTGGCATAAAAGTGAAATTACTGAACCTACACATAGGAGCCTGATAAAAATGCACATTTTAAAAGAAAATTTTAGATGGCTTTTAGAGGTTTTTGCATCTGAATTCTTCATAAATAAATGAAACCAAGGCAAATCTACATCAGAAAATGGTTGGCATTCACACACACACAAGTACTTTGTCTTTTTACTTAGCATACAGTACATATAAATGTAAAGATTATGACTAATATTGGCAATTGCATAAGGCATACATCCATTTTTTACCTAATAAATTCAGTGTGTGCCACAACTGAAGGTAAATATGTATATGAGCATAGCATAAGCCCTTACAGGTCTGGAATCTTCACATTTTCTGATATGAGAGACATTTTATTTAGTAAAAATTAATAAATGAAGGAATAATGGCTCTGCGTTTCAGCATTTTATCTCACTTTAGACGCACTGTATTAGGAGAGCAGTTTTTTAGGCACTTGCTTGACAGAAGCATCAACAGCTTTCAAATATATCTTTATTATTTCAATTAATAAAGGTTATTTTAATGCACATATACAGCTCAAGCTATACAGTGAGAAATAATGGGAAATATACAAACAGGTAAACAAATTAATACAATCAGGCTAGGGGCTAAATATGCACCATAGAATAGAAAATCAGGAGAAAAGTATTAAAAAGTCTTAAATGCTATTTTGCAAGGTATTACATTTGATATAATTTTTTGATTATGCAGTGTATGGTTGTATGCTAAAGTTTGCCTGAATTAAATCTGTGAATATCAGGATGCTGTGTAGTTTATGAAATCAGTAAAATCCTGCTAGATTTGACATCATGCTGCTGTCTTTACTGCAGTAACCAACACAACACCATTACTTCTGCAGTTCTGTAGGCGCCAACCTGCTTAATTAGCTAGATTTAATAGATTTGTATCCAGTATATGAATAAGGTTTTAGTTTTGGATTAGTTTCTTACATTAATATTAGTAAATAAACTGTAAGTTAAAATCTTAAACCTGTATATACTGTTCATAGTACATCCATCAGTAAATATCACCATAGTTTTTCTATAACTGCACTTTATAACTTACAGTATACCTCTATCCTGCACTTGCTGCTATTGCACTGCTGGTTAGACCTAAACTGCATTTCGTTGCATTGAACATGTGTAATGACAATAAAGTTGAATCCAATCTAATCTAATGTTTCCAGTTAAAACCGTAAGTAGTTATAAGGTCTTAAAATGTATAGGAGGAGTCTTAAAAAAGGTATTGAATTCCACTCTATGGTTGCTGTATATATTCTGTAGTTAGTTAGTTAGCTAGTTAGTTATTTGGTGTAGAATATTAATGAATAGACTAGATTAAGTTGCTAACATTTATTTGTTTAAATAATATTTACTGGGTTCATACACATTTTTACTACTAAAATTCCATGACTTTTCCATGATTTTTCCAAAACTTTCAAGCAAATTTTCATGACCTAATGTTTCATGCAATTCAATTCAATTCAGCTTTATTTGTATAGCGCTTTTTCAATGTATTTTGTCAAAGCAGCTTCACAAAAATGGTCATAGTAATTGAAACAGAGTAGTTCAGTTTTTAGTGTTTAAGTTCAGTTAAGTTTAGCTCAGTTCAGTGTGGTTTAAAATCATTACTGAGAATCCAAACACTGAAGAGCAAATTTATGCAATGTCTACATATGCATGGTAAAAGAAAAACAATGCATACTCAACTTTATTACAGCATATCGTAAAACATGCAACAATCTATTTAGTTGCAATTTATATTTATGTAAAATTGATTAAGATAATGCTTAAACCACACTAATAATGTGAGAGTTGGTGATTGGCCAAGGACAGAAAAGAAGTAGATAACCTATAATCAAGTATACAGATATCAGATAGTTTTCCCTGACTTTTCCAAAACTTCAAATAACTGATAACTTAAAATCACTAAATAACTTAATGTAAATGTAATTTCAATGACTTTCCAAAACTTTATGGTTTTTTTCTGTTTATCCAAAACTTTTCCAGGCCTGGAAATGCTTGTCAAAGTTCCATGACTTTTCCAGGTTTTCCATGACCAGGGGTCCGTTCTTCGTACGTGGATTACTCAGTTAGCTGGATTTGGATATTGAGGATTTGACACGATCCAGGATCGTTTCGTTCTTCAAAGCTGATCCGAGAGTTGTTGTCATGGCAACAGTTCTGCTAGGTCAAACCTGATCGGGAGCAGGTTCAATTCATATAAACAGGATTAGATTGGCTCAGTTCAAGCAAAGATAATACAGAAAGTATGTTCCGAATTCTGATATTTTCTTACAGTAGTAGTTATACACTTGGGGAAATAATACATAATTTTTAAATATATATATAAAGTTATTCATTAATAAAATAAATAAAGTTATACATATTAATAAAATGTATGCAATCTGCACCCTCGAAATGAAAGTACAAAGACTGCCACCTGGTGCAAAGAGAAAACTTATTGAAATGAACTTTTTAGATCGCTTTAGAACAAATTGTGTATAATAGAAATGCACAATATGTGACTTTTTTTAAAAGCAATAATACATTTATGCAGTCATAAACATGTTTTGATAGTTAATATGCCAGTGATTTGATGCTTCACAAAAGTTGCAGACACCTTTACCAATATGAAAATGCTTTTGTAAACAACCAGTTATTCTTTATACACCGATTAAAAAACGGCTACTATAATAAAGCAAATCTTTTCTAAATGTAGAACTAAATACATTGATTTGCATTGAAATACATGATGAATACTCTTGTCTTGACACATGAAAGTGTAAAGCCTGCAGCTCACAACAAATGTGGAAGGTTATTGCGTGTCATATTTAACAAACCGTTTACTGCTAATTTGATGTAATTTTGCTCACATGGATAATTGAATATTAATCAGATGATGTCATTACGCTGCTGTGCCGTCAGCCAATCGTTGAATTGCTGATCATGATTTCGAGGATCGATAGATCTGTCCTTCATAATACAACCAACGATCTCAGATCAGTTCATCCAGACATTCTAATCTAATTCGCGAACTTGTTTGAAGAACCAAATTAGCGAGAGATCAGTTATCACGATTAAAAGATCTAGGAACTGCTAAATCATCTTAGATCATTTAAATGAGGTACGAAGAACGGACCCCAGATGAACTCTGTATTTAAATAAAAGCTGTGCATCAACAACAACAACAACAACAAACAATTACTAATCCTTTTGTTTCTGACATAAAAGTTGAAAAACACTGAAATAGAGTACGACAAAATTATTAGATTACAACAGACTTGCTAACATTTCTTTAGGTATTATTTAAATAAAAGCTGTGCAACAAACAATTACTAATGCTTTTGTTTCTGACAGTTGACAAACACTGAAATAGAGTATGACAAAATGGTTAGATTAAGACAGATTGCATGCCACTAAATGACTAACTGTTTCTACAGTGAGATGCCGAACGCAGATCCTTCCCACCACTAAACCCAAAACCAGGGAGGACTTCCTAAAGTGTGAGTACTTTACTACAAATAAAGCAAACATTAATATCTATGGAAAGGTTAATTGTGGAGCCACTGTCACTCAGCACCAAACATAAACAAATAGCATATAGAATATATTTGGCCGACTCAGTGGTTAGCACTGTTGCCTCACAGCAAGAAGGTCGCTGGTTTGAGTCCCGATTGAACCAGTTGGCGTTTCTGTGTGGAGTTTGCATGCTCTCTTCGTGTTGGTGTGAGTTTCCTCCAGGTGCTTCAGTTTCCCCCACAGTCAAAAGACATGTGCATTAGGTGAATTGAGTTATCTAAAATGGTCGTAATGTATGAGTATGAATGAAAGAGTGTATGGGTGTTTTCCAGTACTGGGTTGCGGCTGGAAGCTCTGCGTAAAACATATACTAGAATAGTTGGTGGTTCGTTCCACTGTGGCAAAAATAAAGGACTAAGCCAAAGGAAAATTTATGAATTTAGGTGTATATATATATATATATATCTTTGTTTATATATGTTTATATATGTTTGTTTATATATGTTTATATATGTTTTTCAGTTCAGATTTCTTGATTAAAATGCAGATTGTGTGTTTCATCTCCATCAGATTTCCATCAGTTCACTCTGGATTCACAGTCGGTGCATAACAACCTCAGTCTGTCCGATGAGAACAGAGTAGCTACTTTCACTGCATCAATGCATGCATATCCTGATCATCCGGACAAATTTGATACCTGGCCTCAGGTGTTGTGCAGAGAAAATGTGTGTGGGCGCTGTTACTGGGAGGTGGAGTGGAGCGGGAATCATGGTGTGGCTATAGCAGTGTCATATAAGAGCATCAGCAGGAAGGGACAGGGTACTGAGTGTAAATTTGGATATAATAATCAGTCCTGGAGATTGTTCTGCTCTGCCTCTGGATACATATTCAGTCACAACAACAGGAAACGGGATCTGCCGGTAGTCTCCAAAATAGGCGTGTATGTGGATCAGAGAGCAGGAGTTCTGTCGTTCTTCCGCGTCTCTGACACAAAAATGAGCCTCATCCACAGAGTGCAGACCACATTCACTCAACCGCTCTACCCTGGGTTTGGCTTAAACCGGGACTCATCAGTGAAACTGTCATCTATGATTTAGAGTTCTAATCATCATGTAAGAGCTATGAAAAGTAGCATTTGTTTCATTAATGAACTCAAACAATCTTTTCCCTTTTCCCATTGACACCACTTTGAAGATGTGGGATTCTGTTAAGCTCTTATTTACAACTTTTTTTGTGTAAATAGGCTCATTTTGGTGCAGCGTGGTGGCTCAGTGGTTAGCGATGTCACCTCAAAGCAAGAAGGTAGCTGGTTCGAGCCCCGAATGGGCCAGTTGGCATTTCTGTGTGGAGTTTGCATGTTCTCCTCGTGTTTGCGTAGGTTTCCTCCACATGTGGAAATGGTGAATTGAATAAACTAAAATTGACCGGTGTATGTGTGTATGTCCTGGCCCTTCAGGTTGGGGGTTGAGCGTTGGGCTAACAACCCACCTCATTAAAAAAAATAGATGTTACGAAACACCAATATGGTGCAGCTAAATATCAACTTCTATATATTTGGCTCTGGGAGTAGGTAAGTAAGTTAAACGTTTGAGTTTTGCTATTTTTTTTATTATTATTATTCAACTAGTACATCTCTTTGTCTGGCGAGAGCACTTTTAACTTAGCTTGGTATAGATCATTGGATCAGATTAGACCATTATCATCTTGCGCATTTTTAAAGCTTAAACCTCTGTAATATTTAATAAATATCTATAAATAACCAAAAAAAATTATAGCATTCCTTTTCTTGATTATTTAAGTTTGGCAGCTTGGGCAGAATATAAGAGGAGGGTATGAGAATAAAGAGGAGCTTGAATCAAACCTGCATTCTATCTATCCGTCCATATATCAGTCTATCTGTCGATCTATCTATCTGTCTGTCTGTCTGTCTGTCTGTGTCTGTCTGTCTAAAAATCTCTGTCTGTCTGTCTATCTGTCTGTCTGTGTGTCTGTCTGTCTGTCTCTATGGTCATACATCCAGTTATTCTTCATAAATACAGATAATAACTACGCAATAGAAGTATGAAAATGGAAATTATGAAAGCTGTTATTTTTGTTGTTTGCATTGGTTGGGGTTTTATTAAAAAAATGTCCCCTAGCATTTTTCCCCCTTAAGTTGCACTTCACACTCCAATCCAATAGGTGGCAGAATGCGCACCTGTAAATTGATTTGCCAACCGCCAGTCAGTCATACGAGAAGGGGGGAAAAACATTCCGAGGAGTCGCCTTTGGCTTTATATGTTTGCAAACGTCTGATTTTAGTTTCTCATACTTTCCCTTGAAACTATTGGTCTCGTTTAAAAAAGAAAACAAGCGGTTTCTTAAAGAAATCCCGTTGAAACATTTTAGTCAGGTTGTTGCCTTCCAAGTTGTTTGTAGGCTGCAGCGTTGTGAAGGCCCACGATCAACGTGTGTTTTATCAGCCAGCAGAGTTGACGAACTTTTTTAAGTAATCTCAGTGAACGGAGAAGCTGTCTACTGTTCTATTTCTGCAGGTGAGTCACATTTAAAACCCTTTTTGAATTGTATACAGTTTGTTTCATTCACATATGCAAATTTTCTGCGTTTTTCTGTCTGTTTGCGCATGTAGAGCAATGGCAGAAGCCAGCATTTTTGTGGCTCAAGATCAGTTCAGCTGTTCAATCTGTCTGGATCTCCTGAAGGACCCAGTGACCATCCCCTGTGGCCACAGTTATTGTATGAACTGCATTACTGAATACTGGAATCGACGTGATCTGTCGATTAACAGCTGCCCTCAGTGCAGACAGACCTTCACTCCAAAACCTGCCTTAAACAAGAATGTGATGCTGGCAGAAATGGTGGAGAAAGTAAAGGCGATAAAAGTCCAAACAGTTGACCCTGCTCCCAGTTACGCTGGACCTGGAGATGTGGAGTGTGATGTTTGTAATGGGAGAAAACGCAAAGCTGTTAAATCCTGCCTAGTGTGTCTCGAATCTTACTGTCAGTGCCATTATGAGTCTCACGAAGAATCTCGTTCAAAGAAGCGACATAAGATAACTGATGCCACTAGACGAATCCAGGATATAATCTGCTCCAAACATGACCGACTGCTGGAGGTTTACTGTCATTCTGATAAGCATTGTATATGTTTAATGTGTGTGATGGATGAACACAAAAATCACGATATTGTTTCAGCTGAAGCAGAGAGAGCTGAGAAACAGGTATGAGCTGAAAACACATATGAATTATATAATTTTTCAGTTATGTGTATTAGCGTTAGGGCTGCACAATATTGGAAAAAGCAAACATTGCGATTTTTAAATTTCCTGCCATTTTTTTAAGATCAAGGGGATGATTTTGTAGAGGACAGGGTTCATTCGATCATGGAAAACCTAGAAAAGTCATGGAATTTTCCAGGCCTGGAAAAGTTTTGGAAAAACAGAAAAACCCACAAGGCGGTATACAGAATTTAAAAAAAGAAATGCTCCGATGTAAAGGTGCAGGTTAAGAGGGAAACAGCGGCACACCGTCAAAGTGTGAAACGAATAGGGGATGCTGAACTAACACCCTTTGAGGAGAGTGTTGACTCGATTGTGGGCAACTCTTTACTGTCTGGAGTAGTATCCGTGTCTGTGGGAGACACAGATGTAGTAGAGGAACACTTTATTAGGGCGGTATAACAGCACCCTCCCTCTCTTATCAAGGGAGCGCCACTGGCATTTCAGCTGCCCAATCGCCCGCTCTACAACTGACCGAGTGCCTGCCACCTTAGAGCCTTATCTCAACCATGCTGTTTGTGAGGATGAATTAGTCATGGGCAGGGCCAGACGGAATCTGCGTACGTTTTTTACTATTTCTGAGGAGATTTAAATTTAATTTAATTTCTGCGAAATTATTTTGGTAGTATCATAACTAAAACATTAATTTGTGAAATAAAAATTAATACATTTTTTCAACTTTTATTTCATGTTTAAATTGCAAATCCAATTAGATCAACTTTATTTGGTAAACAAAGCAAGTCTCTCATATAATACCTCTACTAAAAGACAGAAAATAATACTGTACAAACTGCATTGTACGTAAATAAGATGAACATTTTCATATTAGTCAATAATATTACTGTAATTAATTAAAAAGCTGAATAAATTTAGATTTACACACATTTACTTAAGTAAATAAACAGAATTAATCATAGGCAAAAAATCTGCGGAATTCTGCGCGCGCAGATTCCGTGTGGGCCTAGTCATTGGTTGACCCAGGCCATCTTGCTATATTTGTTAAGTGCATTTGTGCACATATTATTTGCACATTTATTGAATGGAAATGTTTCCGAATTATGTATGCAAATTCATCTTCAGATGGCGCCTTCATAGCAATGTGCGTGCAGTCGATCGCTCCGATTACTTTGGGCAAACCGGCGATTGCTGCAAATTGCACTTTAATGTTTGGCTGATCAACTGCATGGTATAGAAACCTTATATACCTGCTAGACATGCGTATGATCCCGTCCCATACAGCTGCCATTGCACGGCTCAAAGATACTTTGTAGTGTACAATTTAACACAATTGCCTCTAGGAGTCGCCAATCGAAAAAAACGCTGAAGTATCACACGTACACAAGACATGAAGTTGGTGCGAACCAACGCACAATTTCACGTTAATTTCATCGTTAGTAAATCCAAACGTGAGCGTGAAATCTGGCATACGCAAAAAAAAATTTGTGCGTACGCAGCGTTGATACAAGAGGCCCCTGGAGTTTTTGTAGTAAAAATGTGTATGAACCCTGAGAAGAGCACATAAAATATAATCAACAAATTACACGCAGAGATAAATAGAGCAAATATACAAATAATTAAATACAATTAATCTTTGTTAAAGCTACAAATGTAAATTTCCATGTGCCCAGATGCTTTAAACTTGCTTAAAATGTTTACAAATGCCCTAAAAACAAAAGCAGTTGATGAACTTTCCCTTTATTATGGTTTAACTGGGGTGGCGCAGTGGGTAGCACAATCGCCTTACAGCAAGAAGGTCGCTGGTTCGAGTCTCGGCTGGGTCAGTTGGCATTTCTGTGTGGAGTTTGCATGTTCCCCCCGTGTTCCTGTGGGTGTGGGTGTTTCCCAGTGATGGGTTGCAGCTGGAAGGGCATTCGCTGTGTAAAACATATGTTGGATAAGTTGGCGGTTCATTCCGCTGTGACGTCCTCAAATTAATAAAGGGACTAAGCTGAAAAGAAAATGAATGAATGGTTAAACTGAAATGACCCCAAACTTCTAAAAATGTGTTCTAAACGGTTGTACCTGCTCAACTATAATCCCTATTGTGTGTTCATACGTTGTGATATTGATGCTAAAATGATATGTTGTGCAGCCCTAATTAGCGTTCTAATGTTTATAATAATTTGCTTATCCCTTCAGAAACAGATTGAAGAGATGGTCATAATATTACAGAACAAAATTCAAAAGAGGCAAAAACAGCTGCAATACTTGAGAACATCTATGAAGCATCGCATGGTGAGTGTTGTTGAACAATAGTCAGCTTGAAATGAGCTGATTTTGTGTAACTCAATAAGTGTGTCTTAACAGACCTCAGCACAGAGAACAGTGGAGCACTGCGAGAGTGTTTTTTCTCAACTCATCCAGTCCATCGAGAGAAGTCGATCTGAGGTCACACAAATGATCAGAGATCGAGAAAAGAAGGCAGCGAGTCGAGCCAAAGAACACATGAAACTACTGGAGCTGGAGCTTGAAGATCTGAAGAGGAGAAACTCTGAGCTGGAGAAGATTTCTCACACAGATGACCACATCTACTTTCTACAGGTTTACAAAAATTATTAGTAGTAGTACTGAGCAATCTTTGGTTTTATCAAGTAATTCATTAGATGCAATAGTCCTCAGAGGTTTGAGTATCACCAATTATGTCATACTTTTTTTTTAACGATTCTCTAATTTTTTGCGTTTTTGCATGTGTAGAATTTCCAGTCCGTTTCTGTCCCTCCTGGATCTAAAGCTTCTGGCTTTTTCGGCTCTTATTTTAATGTGAAACCCTCCTTGTCTGTCTTACAAAGCAAAGTAGAGGATTTCTGCAAACTGGAGATGGAAAAGTTTTCTGCTGGAGGTAAATGAGTCATGATTATTGAATAACATAATTATGTAACATTTCAACAACAATATGAGCTTAGCATGTACACACATTGAACACACGTGGTGTTTTGGAGCATTTTCATATAAACGTAGCAGATTTTTAATTTATTATCATTCATCTGAATTTTTCGAATGGTTTTTTTCTGTAGGTCAGTCGGTCGGTCAATCAATGGGGTATATGCACAGCTAGTATTTTGCAGCCATTGATTAACTTCCGGTGAATGGTTTAATGTGACTAATATAAATTTAGTAAGGTTTTATTTAAGGCATTGATGTTTTAATATAA